GACCCCGTCCACTCAAATACCATAATTAGTCACACCCTCACCGAAGCCCGCGACGCCAATCCCTAGATTCTTAGGCCCTAAACCTGGAAACTCCCCAAACAAACCCTAGATTCTTAAGCCCTTAAACCATCAAAGTCGCAATGGCCCTTAAGCCACCCTACACCCTAAACCCTTAAGCCCTTAAATCCTTAAGCCCTTAAGAGCCCGCAAGCCCTCAAACACTTAAACCCTGAACCTGCACACTGCCGGAGCAGCAGCGACACATGTGCCTCGGAAAAAGTCTCTAGTTCATGGAATTTGAATTAGAGGGTCCTTAACGGAGCGGGGGGTCTGTACCCCAACCCTAAACCCTAAACCCTAAACCCTTATAAGACTCCCTAAGCTTCTTTCAGGTTCCCGGGGTGCCCACGCCGCATGAACCCTCCGCCCACCCCCCCGTACTTACCCACTTACAGGCTCCTTAAGTGCCCTGACGTGGTTAGAATCAGTGCAGTTATAAGTACAGTTTTGATTGGTTAATCAGTACCATCCCCTTGTTCTTGGGCTCCAAAGAGGCAACAAGGCGAGGTTTTCACCTCCGAAGCCCATCCGACACCGCCAAGGTCGGCGGACTCCTAAATTAAGAGCCTCCGGCTCAAGCCGCCGACCCCGCTGGAGCATAGTTGAAAGGTTTAAGGATGCCAAAAGTTGATTTGCTTGAGCCTCTGTGAAACGTTGGGGGGGGGGGGGGAGGGGGTAGCACCAGGACCCAAACAGGAGCTGAAGCCAGCTTGAAGGAGGGCAGCCCCATCAATTCAATCCCAACAACCGCAAAGGACCCCTATGTCCTGTGCGAAACCGCCTATGGTCCGTGAGTTTATGCGGTGTGGGTGGCCTGGCCCTCCATGGAAAAGCTGCCCGGGTACCCCCCCCCCCCCCCCCCCCCCCCCCCCCCCCCCCCTCCGCGTTTTGGGGGGGTAAGGAGGGAAAGAGGGAGGTTTTCACCTCCTTTTCCCATCCAACACGCCGCCAGGGTCGGCGGACCCCAATTAGAGCCCTAAACCCCAAACCCTAAACCCTAAACCCCAAGCCCCAAACCCTAAACCCCAAACCCTAAACCCTAAATCCCCCAAGCCCAAAAGCCCCGAACAGAGGACCTGGCGCTGCGAGCCACCATCTTTGCCTGCAGCGCCATGCGATCGACCCAGGGCGGGGGGAGGGGTGTGTGTGCAGGATTTTGTCCCTTAACCCTAAACCCGAAACCCTAAACCCTAAACCCCAAACCCTAACCCCAAACCCAAAACCCTAAACCCTGACTTCCTTTGGTCCTCCAAGACCTGCCTGACAAAACACTTCAAGCTCTTTATTAAACTCGACTTGCCCGCCTTGGGACTCTATTTATTTACCCACAGTTTTGTAGAAACTACCCCTACTCAGTAGGTATAGCTATAAAAACTGTAGGTAACGCGAGGGTCCCAGGTCCAGCCCTTGAATTCTGATGAAGAACTCTTAAACTCTAAAGCTTCTGGGGGTTGGAGGCTTGAAGGTTGGATATGTCTAGGTTGTTTTCGGGTTCTTTTTGGGTTTAGGGGCTTGGGTTGGGATGTTCCGGCTTATACTAACAGTCCTTGATAGGGACTATACTGGGGTGGGGTACTATAATCCCTATTAAGGACTGTTAGTATAAGGAGGAACATCCCAAGCTGAAGGTTTGGAATCTGGGGTTCGTAGGGTTTATGGGGTTTGGGGCGCTAGGCTTCGTTGGGTGTTGCCAAAAATGCTTTGTCCTCCAACTTCTCGAGCTTGTTGGCGTGTGAGGTGTATAGGTACGGTGTCACTAAACCCTCAACCCCAAATCCTAATCCCTAATCCCTAAACCCTATACCTGCATCTTCTACGGCAAAGAGATGGGCTTAAGGTACATGGGGTTAGGATGCCTACACCTCTGAATCCCACTGGTCAGCCTCGGCAAAGCCTCGGATGCTCCTCTCGGGAGGGGAGCAAAGCGCTACTCACAGACCATAGATCCCAAGCCCTGAACCCTAAACCCACGAAACCCTACAAAGCCCAGAAACCTTATACCGCAACTTAGTAGCTGAGAACGTAACCTTGAATCCTACAATACCTAAACCCTAAGCCCTAAACCCTAAGCCCTAAACCCTAAACCCTAAACCCAGGGTACTCAGCAAATAGGGCAAAGACCCTCCGAAGTCCTTTCCGAGCCCAAGGACCAAGCTCGGCAAGGACACGCTCTGGCGAAAGATCTGGTCAGAGCAGCCCTCAGGGGTTTAGGGTTTAGGGTTTAGGGTTTAGGGAGCCCTCAGATATTCTCGCGCCTTTGTGGTGGGGGGAGCTCCTCTACTAGTCAGCCAAGAGAGCTCCTCTAGGGACATAGAGATAATCAAAAAGAGGGTTTAGGGTTTAGGGTTTAGGGGTTTAGGGGTTTAGGGGTTTAGGGGTTTAGGGGTTTAGGGGTTTAGGGGTTTAGGGTTTAGGTTTGGGGGGGTTTCAGGGCCATGGGTTTGTGAAACTTCCAGTCCAAGAGGGCCTCAAGGTTGCATGGCAGGGGTCGAGGGCTCTTAGGTCGCGCGTTGCAACCCTAAACGCTAAACCCTAAACCCTAAACCCTAAGCCCCAAAGCGTCCGTCGAGGGTGCGGGGTCTGGAGTTTTAAGGGGGTAGGGGTTGCGGCTTTAGGGCTTCAGCCACTGGGAGGGTCTAGCCCTAAACCCTAAACCCCAAACCCTAAACCCTAAACCCTAAAAATCCCTGCTGTCAAAACTGGCCGATATCCTTGAGCCGTTTAGCTCTGAGTAACTAGGTAGGCCCTTGGGAACTTCTGTTTTTCACTTCTGCGCTTCGAGAGCGTCATATTAAAAGGATTTATTGTTATTCAGAGGGGTTTTAAGGGCCCTCCAGCTCTCAGTAACCCTTGGGGCTTAGGGTGCTGGGAACAGTCGAAGCTGATTTTGGCTGTCGGGGTTTTTGTATGCGTTTAGAAGGGTTGCGTTTAAATCATTTTAAATGAATATGAACGGGACATGGCAAATTTACTCAAAGGCGCCACGAAATATGCTTACGACATCCGAAAGACTTGACTTAATTGCGTATCCCCCAAACAGTCACACGGTCCTGAATTTTCCCGGCAAACTTGGCTTTACAGGGGGGACCCTACTAAACAGGGTGCAAGATTGGACCAACATACCGAAACCTGATATGGAGGGCAGATGGTATGATATTGGCATGCTACACCTCCGAACCTATGCGTGGCTGCGTGGTCAGCCCTAAACCCTAAACCCTAAACCCTAAACCCTAAACCCTAAACCCTAAATGGGCATGGTGGAAAGACCAAGAGCTTGTGGCTCATGCTTCCAAAGCAACACCACATGCAGCATGGGTTGCGAACATGCTTGGAGGGGTTTAGGGTTTAGGGTTTAGGGTTTAGGGTTTAGGGTTTAGGGTTTAGGGTTTAGGGTTTAGGGGAGCGACTACGCTCTGATGACTGCTGAAACCTTCGTAGGGAGAATGGGTATGGGTTGCCGAGTCTTTCAAGCCGAAGGCTATGCAATCAATCCCTCACAAGCTGTTCCGTGAGGACTGAACTCAAGAGCTGGTTTATGGTCCATATGATCTCCCCCCTAAACCCCTAATCCGCAAAACCCGAAAAGGCTAAGCACCCTAAAACCCCCATTATAAGCCCTGACCCTAAACCCCAAACCCTAAACCCTCAAACCCCAAACCCCAAACCCTAAACCCTAAACCCTAAACCCCAAACCCCAGTCCTAGAACCCAGGCCGTGGGCGGCGAGGCCTCCGCGATAGCAGACCTGGGCGCCGGCCCGGACAACGCCGAGCGCTACCGGAAGACGGCGCGCGCGCACTGGGGTTCAGGGGGTTTAGGGTTTGGGGTTTGGGGTTTAGGGTTTAGGGTCTAGGGTTTAGGGTTACTTGCAGGTTCATGGTACCTCTTAACCAACTATAACTGTACTTATAACTGTACTGATAACCATATTGGGGCACTTAAGGGGCTTATAAGAGGGTTATCAGTATGGTTGTAATTTGTTAATAATTGCCATGAACCTCCAAGTACGGGGTTAGGGGCCCCCTAAACTCTGAAGGAACGGGTTCAGGGTGCATAGGGTTTAGGGTTTCGGGTTAGGGTGTAGGCCCGAAACCCAGTTTAGGGCTTTGAAGGGGGTTTCGTAGAAATGGCTCCACTGTAGCCTGCTTGCCAAATTTCTCATTACGAAGCAAGCCCGCATACCTTGTAAGTACCTTGTAAGTTTCAAGTGTAAGGTATGAAAGAATACATTGACTCTACTGGAGCCGAAGAGAGTGCAAGGACTCTCCTTTTCAGGGTTAGGATCCTCTATAAATCAAACTACAGAAACCTGGAGTATAGGGTGTACTATCCCAAATATCAGATCGATGCATTTAATTTAGTAGTTTCGGGGATGGAATTGGTAGGTTTTCACCTTCGGTCTCGGGTCGGGCATGACTGCACAAGGCCCTGCCAAGCCCGAAACCCCAAACCTTAAACCCTAAACGCCCGAAACCCTAGACCCTAAACCCTAACCCGTTTCCCACTCTTCCCCCTCAACGTTTACCATCCCAGGATGCATCTCGAAGGGCCGATGGTCGCCTGTAGGCTTTGTTGGGGTGTAGGGATTTCGGGGTTTGAGGGGTGTCATTTGGGGTCCCCTAAACCCTAAACCCTAAACCCGAAACCCTAAACCCTAAACTCTCATGCACCACAGGCTTCTCTGGGTAGGCTGAACTTTAGGAGGTCTCGCAAGGATGGATGACCGACCCCGTTGACACGTCCTCGCCTGATCAGCTACTTGCCGGAGCGACTGGCTCTGACATATAGACACAGAATACGGTAGGTTTCAATTGCGAGAGCCATGGCTTGGTCAATGATCGGCCAAATCGCATTCGCCCTTCTCCTCAACGGCGTCGCGGTGAGTGGTGTGAACATGACCGACAACGTGACCAAGCTCCGAGGTGCGAGACCTTCACTAGCATGAGCAATGAGTGTAGGGACACATGCGAAGCCATGTTTGGGGGTGTTGGATCGATCATGCATGGGTCTTGCCGCTGCGAAGCCAAAGTCGATGGCGAATACACGCCTTGTTGCGACACTAAGCTCTGCCCTACGACAACGCCAATGGCAACAACAAGAAAGGCGATGGTGACATGCTACTCGCTCCCATCCGCAGATGACTGCAGGCAGGCTTGTGAGGATGAGTATGGCGCCCGCAGTTCGATTGTCTTCAAGCATCGCGAAACATGCTACTCGCTAGTTGCGGACAAGTCATGTTGCGACGGCATAGACGGAGCCGGAGCGCGTGCCCTCAGCGTCCTTCCAGCGTCCATCATGTCAATTTCGCTGTTAGTGGCACGTTTTTTTTGATTTTTTAATCTTCTGTCGCGATTGACCTTCCTGTCATGGGGGCGCCGCCTAAGTCAGAAACCACGGAGGTGTGTCAGGAACCATGCGTCAGGAAACAGGAAAGCGAGAGTCTAGAAGCAGGGTTTCGGGTTTTGGGTTGGTTCCTGACTCACGTCGCGCTGGCTCCCAAATCTTCCCCAGTATTCGCGCCTGCGCACACATGCACCACGAACCTCTCCGCGCCCCAATTTCTTAAGGATGCACAGGCAAAGGCCGTGGTCCCTTTGTTGAGTTGAGCAGAGGGCCGCAGCGAGCGCACAAAGTCAAATCCGCGCCTTGCTTCCCCTCGCCCCAGTTAGCAGGGAATGAGGGAATTATAGGGCCCTACATAATCCCTTAAACGGTATACATAGGGCCCTCATTCCCTCATTCCCTGCTAACCAACAGTAAGTTTTCTAAGCCTTCAGGGAACCCTTTTCTTTTCCCCCATTCATGACATAAACCCTGGATCCCGAGCCGTCTCGTAGACCTGGTTGTCCCCTTTCCACCTTGCCTCAATTATATTACCTCAGCCGTAGAACAGTAGCGTGGTGGGTCCGTGGCATGAACGCAACCATTCATAATATTATAGCGTGCGTCCCCTACCAGTCCCTTGCCTAAAATGTTATAATGGGCGCTCTTCTTGGACAGACTCTTGGGCAGTTAAAGTGTCATGAGATTGATGGTGTACGAAAGGAAAAGTAAAGGTTAACCGCTCTCTCGCTGTCACATTTCATCTTGGCTCTTGTTCACCTGTCAAGTCATCATAGTACTAAACCTGTGATGGAAAGTTCCCCAAAGTACAGCCGTGTTGAGACCCAACCCCTGTTTCCACCAAAGACCCTGTATCACGACCTCTATTTCCAGACGTAGCGTTCATCTCTGTCGCTCTTGAACAGCCTTGTTCACCCATCACACCGTGAGACCCTGCTAACGCCTGGTCTGGATAACGCTCTTTCCTGCACTAGAATATTACATAGTGTGTGCAAGGAACGCGCGAGAGGGGTTCGGGTTTAGGGTTTAGGGGTTAGGGTTTAGGGTTTAGGGTTTTTTAAGGTTTTTGGTCGGCCGGCTGGAGCCTACTTGAGCTTCGTGGCCTGCAGCCAGGCTTTCGGGCACCCCAATACCCTTAAAGTGCGGCACGGACACGAAAGTCATGAAGGCGTCCTTGCTAAAGGTACCTTCAGGAGGCTACTTCATTGATATCGAAGTTCATACATTTACTATAGATGGAGGTGAGAAAGTGAGATCATAGTTTGAGTTTCTAGATGAGATTTTGTTAGAAGCAAATGAGGCTTCCGGGATTCGGCCCGTTGGGAGGCCAAACTACATGTCCTGCACCCCCCTTGAGGCACCAAACTCGCGCAAGCCCTAAACGCTAAACCCCAAATCCCAGACCCTAAACCCTAAACCCTAAGCCCAACTTCCCCCTTTGGACCGGACTTGGAGCAGGAGTTCGGCTGGGAGGAGAAGCAGTGAGCAGCAGATCTGCCCGGTTGAGATTTTGCGGATATGCCGGAGTGCCCTACTTGGAGTTCATGGTACTTATTAACCAATTTTAGCTGTACTTCAAGGGGTTTAGGATTTAGGGTTTAGGGTTTAGGATAACTGTACTTGTAACCATATTAGGGCACTTAAGTGACAAAGTCAATCGCCCGAAGCTGCAGTTGCATCGTGCACCCTGCAGCCTTTACCCGCAGTCGCAAAAGAGACCCTAAACCCTAAACCCTAAACCCTACCCTAAACCCTAAACCCTCAGGTCTCCTTGAAGATCCACTTGGAGGTTCAGTGGCGCTGACAACCCCAATGATAGCTGTACTTATAAGCCCCCTAAAGTCCTCTTAGTAGGTTCTAAATGGACTTAGATTTGGGGTTATAACCCAAACCCTAAACCCTAAACCTTATAATTGGGGTTTTAAGTACCCACATGAACCTCCAAATGTAAGACGCCCAAACGTAAAGTGTTAGAAGCTTGTATCGCACTGAGCTCCGCAGGAAGGCCAAGGCGGGCTGTTTATGGTTTAGGGTTAGGGTGTAGGGTTTAGGGCTTAGGGTTTAGCGTTTCAGTTTGAGAAGGGTTTATCATCCTTTTCGGGCCCTGGACGAAGCTTTGGGCGGACCAGCCTTCAAGAAGACCGGTTAAAGGGTTTACTGTTTAGGGTTTAGGGATTGAGAAGGGTTCATCTTTTTAGGACCGTGAAACGAAGCTTAGGGGCAGATTCGCATTCAAGAGAACCGTTTAGGCTTTAGCGTTTAGGGTTTAGGGTTTGCTGGCTGAAAGGGCTTAGTTAGGTCTTGTCAAGACACCGGGAATGCGGGAGGTTTCGGCACACGTCTCCGAATCAGGTGCATGCTTGGACACTTTGGGGTTTACTGAGGCTTAGTTAGGAAATATACAATCTATGGACCCTAATCCCCATACATCCCCATACTACCTGTAGGAATTTCAAATTTGAAGGGGCACCTAAGTTCCCACCGTCTACAGGGCTTCGAGGAAGTATGTAGAGGGGGTGAGCATTCTGTCTTTCGAACTGCGGCGCTGGCAACCATGACGGTACTTAGCCTGAACCCTAAAAACCCTAAAAACCCTAAAAACCCTAAAAACCCTAAAAACCCTAAAAACCCTAAAAACCCTAAAAACCCTAAAAACCCTAAAAACCCTAAACCCTAAACCCTATAACTCCTCAACCCGAACTCTAGCCTGGCTGCTCCTTGACCGGAGCACACTCCGGACAGGACCCTCAACCCTCAACCCTCAAGGCTCTAGTCTAGGGTTTAGGGTTTAGGGTTTAGGGTTTAGGGTTTAGGGTTTAGGGTTTAGGGTTTAGGGTTTAGGGTTTGGGGTTTGGGGTTTGGGGTTTGGGGTTTAGGGTTTTATTGATATCTGTGAAGCTTAGGCCCATACAGTGGGACCAGCTGCAGGAGGCTCTGGCCCAAGTTGATCCAGGAAGGTTGCTGAGGTTTTTAGGGTTTAGGGTTTAGGGTTTAGGGTTTAGGGTTTAGGGTTTAGGGTTTAGGGTTTAGGGTTTAGGGTTTAGGGCTTTTCTCTCTCGTGCAGAGTCTCTGACCAGTTTGTTCGTTAGATGGATGGACCCCTCCACCCCAGCCCCGACCTAAAGCCACAAGACGCGCCATGACAATCCCAACTCTAAACCCTAAACCCTAAACCCCGAAGCCATCTTCCACACCTCGGCCTCTATGACTCCTAAATCTCTATGCCCTAGAGGCCCTAACCTGAGGCCCTGTTTACCTACAGTTTTATGGGTTATACCTACAAATTAAGGGTAGTTTTTACTAAACTGTACGTAAATAGAGTCCCAGGTAAACCCTAAACCCTAAACCCTAAACCCTAAACCCTAAACCTTAAACCTTAAACCCTAGGTAAACCCTAAACCCTACAGAAGCACTGGGACGCCAAAGCCATGTTCGGTCCAGCTGTGGGCCCACCGTGAGGAGCTCGGCTGCGGCAAATGCCGTCCATCAGGGAAGCCTACTAGGGTCTAGGGTTTCGGGTTTTGGGTTTAGGGTTTAGGGTTTGAGGTCTAGGGTTTGAGGTTTAGTTTAGGGCTTAGGGTTTGAGGTTTAGAGTTTAGAGTTTAGAGTTTAGGGTTTAGGGTTTAGGGTTTAGGGTTTAGGGTTTCTGCTTGGTAACCCACTGGCACCCTTGTGCCCTTTTTTGGTTCACGCTTCCCGTGTCAAGTATCCAACCGCAAAACGGCTACCCTCATTTTCATATGGTTGCTGTCTTACCAAGGGGTTTAGGGGCTTGGGGGTTCATGAAAAGACAATATACCCCTTCATAGTGGGCTTTTGTATATCTTAGTCCTCAAAGCACTACAGCCCCCCCCCCCCCCCCCCCCCCAAACTATGGGCAAAGAGAGTCTAAGATAATCCAGGGAGTGGGACATTGTTGATCTGGTTGAGGTTTCCTTAGATCCATCTGCAGGGCGAAAACTCCCAAAGCCCCGGACCACCCCGCTAAACTGTAAAACCCCAAGCCCCAAATCCTAACCCCCAAACCTGAACCCCAAAATCCTCTTAACGCGAGGGCTCCGGTATTCCGTGGGCTCCTGATCCCTATTCGGCCCGAAGGTGCGCAGACCCTCGACACCCTAAACCCTAAACCCTAAACTCTTTGGTCGGACTTTTGGCGTTTAAGGGCTTTGGGAAGTTTAAGGGTTCAAAAGTCCTTGATCCCTGAAACTGGGATGTCCCCCCTTTTACGAACAGTCCTTAATAGGGATTATAATATATAGGGGTACTATAATCCCTATTAAGGACTGTTAGTATCACGGGGAACATCCCTAAGCCCTAAGCCCTAAACCCTAAACCCTAAACCCTAAACCCTAAACCCTAAACCCTACACCCTAAACCCAAAACAGGGCGAGTCACTTCCATGTGCTCGGTGGCCTCGCGGCGTCGTGCAGGGGGCTCAAGCGAAGCGAGGTTCGGCAGGGGGGTTGAGTGGTTTAGGGTTTAGGGCTGGGGTTTAGGGTTTAGGGTTTAGGGTTTAGGGTTTAGGGTTTAGGGTTTAGGGTTTAGGGTTTAGGGCTGGGGTTTAGGGGACTTGGTTCAGGGTTCGGGGGGGCCGACGGCTAGGAGCGAACTGGATGAGGAACGACACCTGAAATTCATATTTCGGGTTTAGTGCTTAGGCCCTGCACCCTCAACCTCATAACCTCCTGCAATCCTCAGCCCTCAGCCCGCGGAGACTTCATCTTGATCATCGTGGTTTTAGGGTTTGGTTTTGAGGGGTTAGGGTTTAGCGGTTAGGTCTTTGCTTTAGGGTTTATAGGGCAGGTGTTGAAAGGGTGTTGATACCCATTCGGAATGCATTTGTCTTCACCTTACTGCTTAAATGCGGAACCCTGTTAGTAGTTTGAGAGTGTTGCATACGTAGTTGGGGGTTCGGGGTCTTCAAGGCAAGGGATACCGGGAGACATTCAGCGAAGGACACCCATAATCCTACCACCCAACACAAC